TCCTCACAATAGGTAGCATCATGATAAATGGAGAAAAAAATTAAGTTGTCAAGGATTTTGTCTTGCCTGGCTCCACAATCAATACTCATGGAAGTAGCTGTCAAGAGATCAAGAGATGCACTGCATTGGGTAGGTGTGCTGCACAGGACCTCTTTAGAATCCTGAAAAGCCAGGATGTTATTTGAGGACTCGGGTGCACCTGAACCAAGCCATGGTATTTTCCATTGCCTCCTATGCGTGCGAAAGTTGCACACTGAATAAGGAAGACTGTAGAAGAATTGATGCATTTGAATTGTGGTGCTGGCTAAGAATACTGGAAGTACGAGGGACTGCTAAAAGGACCAACCAATCGTCTTGGAAGAAGTATGACCAGAGTGCTCTTAGAGGCAAGGCTGGTCTTACAAAGGTCTTACACACTTTGGACATGTTGTCAGGAGAGACCAGTCCGTGGAGAAGGACATCGTGTTTGGTAAAGGAGAAGGTCCTCAAGAAGATGGATCGACACTATGGCTGCCACGATGGGCTCACGGAAAGAAACGATGGTAAGGGTGGCCCAGGACCAGAGGTTGTTTCATTCTGTTGGGCAAAGGGAAGGGTCTCTATGGATCGGAACTAACTGGATGGTACCTAAGAGCAACAACATACTGTCCCCCAAATCTTAAATCAACTCCAAGTCCAAATCTTACCTTTTGAACAATCTAAATCAAATATGGGTGAGCATTAGGCACAGTCCATCGGGGGTCAAAATTCTTCTTTATCGGAGAATTTGCAAGTTCTAGGACATATTTTATCTGCCTCCATAGTACAATGGTAGAACAGGCCTATGGCAGAAAACATCTTCATAGCAAACAGGGTGAACTGGAAGGAAGGCAGGGATGGTGGACACACGAACGTCCTGAACCTGGCAAAACAATTGAGACGTGCTCTCAAAGCTTGACAAGAATCCACTCTTTTCAGATTCCACTTAGGCAAAGGCCCTGCCCTAGAGGTGCCACGGGCTGACCCTACCTCTAGACTCTGGCTGGAGACTTCTCAGCCCCAGGCTTCCGCTCCACTTTCTGGGCCCACCGGGACAGAAACTCTGCTCTCTTGGCTTTAAGTGGTGCTCTTGACCCAGTCCCAGGTGTGGTGAATTTCTCATAGTCCTGATGGGCCCCATTCTTCTGCCCCTTGGACATGACAGCCCTAGCCCCTCGGTTCTGGGCAGTGGCTCCATCCTCCTGGCCACACTGAATGACAACCCCACACTCTAGACCAAGTTGGCAAAGAGCTGACTCTTTGATAGCTCGCAAGCTCTGTCTCTACCTTTGACCCACCAGAGGCTGTGACCCTACTACCCATTGACACTCCAGAGGCTCTGGGGCTGTCCTGGGAGCCCTTGGCAGCCCTTCTTCCGGTTCGCCTTCCGCCCTTTCTGCTGAGAAGTGAGTGGCGCCAGGTTCTTTTCTTTTCTTTGAGGACAGCGCATGCAGGTGGCTCCTTTGGCCCATTTCCTGCCTGTACTTCCAAGGGTCAGCCGGCATTCTGTCTCTGGCCCCTTCAGTCTCAGCTGACGAGTTGTCTGCTGTGGTTGTTGGTTAGATTTGTCAGCCACAGACTTAACCTCTTCAGCAAAAAAAAAAAAAAAGTGTAGCCACGTCCTTGGGGAACGTTCTAGGACATGTGCCCTTTGTTTGTACATCTGAATTTTCCAAATCGAATTGTGTTTCGATTTTGCATGTTTGGGTTTTTGTAAGTCCAGCTTTCCTTTTGTATTTTACTATAAGCAGCAAGGAGAAACCAGATGGATCCTTTACAGTCTTGCTTAGAAATCTCTTCGGCCAGCTATCATGCAAGCTCTACCTTCTACCAGACATCTGAACATAATTTAGACAAGTCATTTGCCACCGCCTACGAAAGCGCCGCCCACCCTCCAGTGTCCAATCACACCACGCTCCTCGCGTCCTTTGAAAGCCTTGTCGCAAGCTCAGTAACAGCGACATCTCCAGCATTCCGTCACTGGTGTCACGGCTTCTCTAAGATGATGAGACTTTTTACAGCTGTCCTCTCTGCATGCGGTGCTCACCACGAGCGTTGCCTTTTGAGGGCCATCGTTTCACCAAAATCTCTTCCAGGCAATCTAGGCTTTCCCTATTAGGTCCCTTAAAACTCTGCCCACCTCCCCAGACTACCCCATCCTAAAGCCCTTCCATATTTCAGGTAACTGTCACAGTAGTGCCTGATGGAGGGAGGGGGGTCAAAGGATGGAATACTATGGAAAATATGGTGTCCCCCCCCCAAAATGTGTTGTGAAAACGAATCTTTATGCTTGTGGTTATCATCCCATTTGGGAACGGTTTGTTATGCGAATGAGCCAGGATTATTGTAGGGTGTGTTTTGAGGAGATCTTTTTGCAAGATACAAAACAGACCAAACAAGCAAGGCAGGTAACAGGGCTAGGAAAAAGGAGCTGCCAGGCCTCGTGAGGATCTCTCAGGAGCAGAAGCTCCGAGGAAACAAGGATCTTTCTCCAGGGCCACCAGAGAGAGAGAAAGCCTTCCCTGACAGCCAGCTCCCTGATTGCAGACCTCCAGCCTGCTAAACTGTGAGGAAATAAACATATGTTTGCTAAGCCACCCCCTTGTGACGTTTCCAATACAGTAGCACTAGATAACGAAAACAGTGGGACTGACAAATGACATTTAATTTGCAAGACAGTGGTACAGGCAATCACAGCTGTCTGAGTTCTGTCCGGCGTGTGGGTTTAGTTGCACGTGGGAACATATGGGTTTCCCTGTGTGGATACAGACATTCACGTGCGGACATCCTGGAGTGAAAGTAGTCTTGGATAGTGGCTCAGGTAGGATTATGCTCAGCTCCTTTTTTAAATTGTGCTTCATTTTACAAGTGTATGAAGAACAACATGAGAATTTGGACACGAAATATTTGGGGGAACATCCCTAAGTTCTGTCCAATTTTTCTATCATGTGGCCAGTGTTCTGATCGGTTTCCCAATCTGAACTACTTAGAGCTTGAACTCAGAGCAGACTAAGTGTGTGTCCCGAATGAACCAAAGGCTCTGGAGTCAGTCGAAGCGTTCTGCTCTCCTGCTGACTGGAAACAGTAATATTGCACCTCGAGCTCCTCAGAGGAGGGAGTCAGAATCATGTTAGTTTCTTTCCCTTGTTCCTCAGACGTCACCACCATCCGCTCCCTGCCCTGCCTTCCACTGCTCAGATTCAACGTCTTTGAATGTATTGGGGGTGGGGTGGGGGATTGGAGGGCGGGTCGTTGCTATTCGAATACTCAATGAACAAGCAAGCAAGCATTGGGTCAATGACCCCGGTCGACCCTGTTCTCAATGCTGTGATACAAGTACACATATCAAGGGTTCATCAGGAAGTTAACACCAGGCCACAAGTCCTGCAGTAGTAGAACACTCTGGCAGGTGCATGAGCATAGAAGGATTTGCCATCATCTTGCCACAGCCGACCAGGAAAGGCTTCCCGGAAGAACCGATGCTCAGAGGGCTACTTGACGTTTGTGAGGGAACAAAACAAAACAAACAAGCCTCGAGATGGAAACAAGGAAGAGATACCAGCTGGGCAAGGCCTCCTCACTTGGCAAAGCACTTTTTACTCTTCGCATCCTTGTTGGCCGTCCTGTGGCAGAGGAGGCTCAAATAGCCTGCCTCCCACCAGTCTCCGCCTCTCTTCCGTGAACGGACAATCGAGAAACAATCATTACCAGTCTCCCTTTCATTCAAATGTAAGCATTCCGAAATTTCTATTTTGTTTTTAAAACGGGACTATGCCTTTCTTTATTCCTTTTCCATCCCAGTACCTGGAAAGTGGATGTGATGTCAAGAACTCGTACAAGCACGTTGAACGGTGCGGAAGAGGACAGCGAGGCTGCAGACGGAACGAAGCGTGGGTCCCTGACACCTTGATGAAAGCCATTGTAAAGAGGACCCTCCTCTCTGTGAGACGGAGCAACTGCTCTTGCGCAGATCATGGTTGCCTTATGGGCTTGTTCTATTATCGGCAGCAGAGCCTAATCCTAGCAGACTCACCTTTAAGATCACGCTCCCTCCCAACTACTTCCTTCTCTGAATTCCCAGCACTCTCTGATCACTCGTGAAGCAAATCTGTCTGGAGAAAACCCTGATCTAGGTCTTTCTCTCTTCCTGCCTGATTTCCACACCGGTCCTTAAACTATACCTGCATAGTCTTTGGGCTGTTCACTATCTTGGGTGGTATGAGGGGTGGGGCAAAGGAAACTGAGGTAGAAAGGGCAGTTATATCTTTCTGTCAACCAAATGGAAGAGAACAAACAAAACCAGAAAGGCGTTTACAATATCAAAAGGAAAGGAAATCACGGCTTCATTTACTTTCCCTTTGCCAACTCTGAAGCCAAACACTTGATTCTTCCTTTATTAACTTTTGTTTTTGAAGCAATTTTTTCCATTGTGAGCACTTCTAAAAAGTCGTTTTCACACATTTTTCAGATACATCCATCCTTTCTGCATTCCTCTATGCACACATTATGGTGCCCTGACTCTAAATATAAGACTTTTATTATGTCCATTAACCACGGGCATATGTGCTCCAAAAGTTTCCTGACACGCAGTCACTTGTGGTTTTTTAATTATAAACAGAAAATATTCACTAGGAAAATAAAGAAGCCAGCCCATCAATATATTGTTATGCTTTTGAGCTTTGCTTGCATATGAGACCAAACGATTGGAGACACAGCTCTCTAAGTCTCCAGCTCCAGCATGTGCATGCATGTGGGGGCATGTAGTCACCCACATCAGCTCATGTGCTCACATGTGCAACCAAACCGGTGCGTGGGCAGAACACAATCTGCTGTGGTGACTGGTACCGCTGTCTTGATCCCAAATTAAGAGACTGGGGCTCTCTCTTAGACTCAACTAGGTTCCACTCTATGTGCAAAATGAAATAAGAAGGCAAATGCCCAATAAAATACTTGACAAAGTCATATTTATTGAATGTGTTTTATTTTGACAACCAAAAAATTCTAACAGCCTAACAATGCACATAAGTTAAAAATTAATTATCACTTAGTGATAACAAAGATAGTTGATTTACATGGAAAAAAGAACATTTACAATATGTTAATCCTTATTCACATTGTTGATACCGCAATAAAACACAATTTGTTTTTGTTTGTTTTTTTGTTGTTGTCATTTCACAAAAAAAGGCGGAAAATTGTGCTTTGTCAAGAGGCACTACAAGAGAAAGTTTCTTCTTCCAAATAGATACTATATGACAGATATTGAATAAATAGACATATATGCATTGTAATTCACAAAGATCTGGCAAGACCACAGGCTAAAATGCCCACAGATTCACTTAGAACCACTGCAAACTTGGCAGTGAAATTAAAAAATAAAAGGCAAGACTTAGCATTGAAAAATACCTAATAAATTTTTGGTTGAAGTGTAAAAGATACCAAATGTGGATGCCACCGATATATGAACCACCTCCTAAGAGCTTGGCAAAAATCCGTTTCCATTATGTATACAGAGTGACCTTCAGCAACAGTGTAAGAAGACAATTTGGAAAGCGTAACTCAGAGACCAGGAAGCAGCCCCAGGGCCTTTGTGACTAAAGCTGCAGCATACTACAGAGACGCGAAGGAGGGCCCAGGGCTGACGGGCAAACCCCCACTCTTCTGCAAACATAGAGGAGGCTGTGTTCACGGTGCCTCTCCCCCCACTGTTTCTCTTAAACATTGTTATTTGAAAAAGTACAGGAAAATGTCCCTTTAAAAACTCCAGAGGTTACTGAGCAGCTAGAAGTAGCTTGTATTGCAACGTGTCTTCTCCCTGTGTAGTGTGAGTTCTGAGTTAATATCTACACATAGAGGTTCTGTTTTTTGTGTGTGGGGGGGGGGGGTTTAACTCCTACCTTTTATACCTTTCAAATATATAAATAGTATTAACAGTTATATTACAATGCTTGTGTAGTAAACAGAAAATACCTTTCAAAGTGATATTGCATGAGGTCTTTGACAAGGTTGCATGAGAGCACAACTCAAAACACAACGAGAAACAAAAACAAAAATCCGAACCGGTGGGGCTGTCTGCTGGCCATTCCGAGTGAAGGGGGGCAGGGTGCGCAGGCCAGTTCTGAAGGTGAGGTCTCCTCTGGCAGTTACTACTGAGTAATGCTGTGGGGGGCTCTGATAAGCAGCTAAGAAAGGGGTGGAAAGCTATCGCCGATTGCAGCTTGAATGCTCCTTCTGCTGAACAGCCAGTCAGCATTAGTTCTGCTTTATGTAAGGTACTTGCTATGTAGGGGACTGGGGAAATGTTTCCGATTAGGACGAGTAGGTGATTCCACTGAGACCGCTTTGCTTATGCTCTATTGCCTGGAGCTGCACCATGATTCCGAAACAGGTTCGTGTTAGGCCATCCATCCCAGGCGAAGGGATGCAGGCTTGGGAGCTCAGGGATTGAAAATGTTTGCTGCGTGGACAGAACGCCGACAGCCGAGGAAGGCCAAAGTGAAACAGAAATGAGAAACATTTGGGGGAGGACAGGACAGAGCGATATTTGAGAGGAAGTCCCTAAAACCGGGCAGTCACGCACTGAACAATATACAGAACTATTGTTTATGAAAGCAAATAAAAAATTTTCAAAAAGGAAATCCCAGCAAGAACCAACAATTTAAAAATGAGCAGGCTTATAGACTTGTAAGATTTGAAGCCGTGACGAGCAGGTAAGTAACTTTCACGACAAAATGTGGCTCATACTATGAATCCCTCTGCCCAGGTCGCTGGACCCCGCCGGCAGTCGTAGACAGGCGTGGTCTGCGTGGGGCTTCAACTCTGCTCCCTCGGGAGCTCCTGCGGAAGGCCTCGATCCACCGCTCCAGAAGGAGAGGGTGATTAACGGAACGCGCCGCCTCCTCCTAAGTGTGCATTGTGTCTTTAAGAGTCATTTCACTTGTATCGTTTTCTAAGGTGCCCTGATTTTGCCCCCACCCCTTTTCTTTCTTTGTCTCTCTTTCCCTCCTTTTTCTTTTTTTGGCAGTGTAAAATTTATTTTGTTAAATACATACCTCAAAAATTACCCATCAAGCTGCCAGGTAGGAAGCCATAAAATTAAAAAAAAAAAATCAGGGACAAACATCAAAAATAAATAGGGATTCAAAAATAGTCACCCTGCCCTGAGAGCAGGCCGCAGTTTATCAAAAAGCCAAAGCGACTCACCATGAAGTGGTTTTTTGTTTGTTTGTTTTTAATACATAAACAAGTCTTTGCTTTAAGAACTCATTTCACAGTCTATTCTTTCAGATTGTAAAGTTCTCTGTCCCATGCAATTTTCATATATATATGTAAATATAGAGATATATACATATACATATACACACGCGCAGCATCCTTCCACAGTCCCGCGGTGTGGCCCGGGGCTGCTCTGTGAGCGCCCCTGGGGGGGTCGGCGGCCGCAGCGCGCGTCTCGGACTCCATCCAGTCTGTGGTGGGTACCACGTGAGGGTCTTTGCCAAGGCAGGCGTTTGATTCGGAAATACTGAACTTCTTCAGTCTACAGGTCTGTCCTGCACAACAAAGAAATGGCCAAAAACAAGGGCAAGGAAAACAAAACAAACAGCACAAAAAAGACAAAAATAAGATAGAGCCAAAATTTTTTTTTTCTTTTTTTTGAAAGAAAAGAAACTACAACAGAAATCCTTGGACCGATCGGCATATTGCTCTGCGCCGGGAGTTCACATTATCTCTGGTCGACGTCAGCGGGTGCGGCCTTACTCTTCTCCGCGGTTTCCTCCTCGGCCTCCACTTTGTACATCTCCTCCGAGCCTTCCTCGCTGTCGTTCTCCTCCGACTCTGTCAGCAGCTCCTCGTCCTTGTACTCGGCCACGTCCACCGCGGAGCCCAGGTGCTCCTTGAGCTTCCCGTGATGCTTCACGTGGTACCGCTGGTTCTGGAAGAACTTGATGATGGTGTGCTTGGGGAGATCCAGCTGAGCCGAAAGCGTGTGGATGGCTTCCTGGTCGGGGTACAGGCCCACATCATGGATAAAGCTTTGAAGGATTCCCAGGGCTTCCAAGGAGATCTTTGTGCGAGACCTGGGCTTTTTGGCACAACTGTCTTCGGCCGGAGGCGGTGGGGGAGGTGCTTCTTCTCTGGGAGGGGAGCTCTCCTTGGCTGGTTGAGAAGGCTGTCTATGAAGGACCTGTTAATAATAATTTTAAAAATCAATATTTGAACCATAGCTTCTACTTTTGAAAGTCATTCTAAAATGTGCACTGTCTACCTGGCATTGGATCGGGAGCAGTGGTGGCTCCACAATGGGATTCTTGCCTCCTTGACGGAGACCCGTTAAATTCTTGGCCAAACCAAGTCATGCTCAGGCAGCATCCACCTGCCCATGGAGGCTTGTGTGTTGCTAAGAGACTGGGCAGATTTCAGGAGGAGGTTCCAGACTAGGAGAATTGGGGTAGCTATGTAATCTGGTGTCAATTTGAGGATTCACAGTGAAGGGGTGGAGCCTATGCTATCAATCAGGCCATAGCCAATGAGGCCTCTGTATGGGCATGGCCTTCTCCTAAGGATTCTGGGAATTCCTGTATTCCTCCTTGAAGGCAGGCGGCACTCATGATCTCTCTCTCCTCACTCTCTGAGAAACATTTCTGACTAGAAGCCACATGAAGCTACCCTGATTCAGCCAGAGCCCTGGGAGCTGGAGGAGCCACGTAGAGACCCCCCGCCAGCTCTGAGATGCTAACAATGCCACTGGATCCACAAGATCTGCACCCCTGGCCTGTGATCTTCCTGCATTCGGAGTCATTGTATGTGTTGGGTGAGTCTGAAGAGAACTTTATAGATT